CTTCACAGAGCATTACATAGCTTAAAAAGGCTGTCGATTCAGATCCGGACTAGCGCCTCATAAATCTTAATTCCTCTTGTTTGGAAGTATGTAATTGAGTTTGGTACTTCAAGAGCATTTAATTGTTGAAATAGAAGTAGCTCGCATAACCGATGCAAAATAGCATACAATCATGCATCCTCGTATCTTAAAGAGGAGGGGGGGGAGGGGGGGGGGAACTGAGTGTGAATATTTTGCACCCACAATAGGAAACTTCAGAATATAACATTACTTCTATCCTCAATAATCTCTTTGGCAACTCCTAATTTATCAGTTGTATCCATTTTGAAAAGGAAAGCACCATCCGCTGTACATGCAGCACTGGCGTCGTCGAAGTTTTTCTTATCTGTATATAGCTGAATACAAATACCGATACTGGCATTGTAAACATATTTCTTCTCTTCACAAACAGCTTCTGAAAAAAATAAATATATTATTCAGCAAAATTTTATTGAACAAGATTCTGATTCAGATCTAGAATTTCTTTATTTGTTTTATCTACAGTTAACTAGCCATCTTTGATCTAAAATCTTTTATCTTTGATAAAATATATATTCATCAGTTTGACTAAAGAATCCCTGTATAATCCGATAAATCCAACGTAAAGCAATGTAATTATTTAAAAATGATTTCTAAGAGGAAGTATTCCATTAAAGAAGAATTTCGTTAGATCAAAGATGCCTAGTAAGCTGTAGATAAAACAAATAAAGAAATTCTAGATTTTGATCAGATTTGCTAGTGAGTTAGACGCTGCTCGCCTCCTTTGGGTTTGAGGTCTCAATACCGTCATACATCAAGAGGATGCTGTTATACATTTCCCCGTCATCGTGTCTCATTAGATGGGTTAATTCTGTATCAGTTAAAATAGTGCCTAATTTCAATACACTTTAATAATGTTGTAAGTCAGAGTTTCATGCTATCTGATAGTTGTCTGAAGAGTGTGAAACTCTGAGTAAGCACCGGTAGCATAATATATTGTTTGTAGAATATAAACAAGATGCTACCGATACTTAAAGAATATGTACAATATGCTACTGGTGCTTAAGGAACATGCGTACAGTGGCGGAGCCAAAGGGGGAGGGGTGGGGCGGTCAGAGGGGAGAGCCACCACCCTCACAGACACGAATACAAGTTAAGAAATTCGAGCAACCTCAGATATTGCGCCCCCGTGTGCGTCAACCTGGCTTCGCCACTGCATGAGTAACAACATGATTCAAGTTCTGTTTTAAAAATTTCAGATGACAATAATGGAATTGACTAGAGGAGATGTCATGATCATTTCGAATTATCATGTGCACTGTGTCGTAACCTACAATAAAATCACGGACATGTGACAGTCAGCCAAAGTCTCATCAGTTGGAAACAAGACAGAGTTAATTTATGTCACTGATGGTACTTCTCTTTAGAGGAGTATTGCCATGCTTTTGACGAGTTCTGTATTAACGGTATTCTTGCTTGTACTGATTTTTATTAGATTACTGTCCAGTCTTCATTAAAGGGACAGGTGTGTCATTTTCGAGGGTTTATTCTGGTCTTGAATATATTTAAATAGCCTTCAGAAGTACTAGAAATTTTAACAAGGAATTTCACTTTCATTCTTATACATGACAGAGTCGGAATTAATGAAGACTCGCCATTTAACTTCCAAACGCGGATATAGCGGGCCACACACAAATTTGAATGCTCAAATTTCGACGATGAGCTGTTAGCTTAACTAAGACTAAGGTACGATTGGCCAAACGTTGGCGAATCTAACCAAAATTTGAGCAGAGATATTCTGGCGCCAAATTGTAAAAAAAAAATAATACAGTACTACCTAGACATGAAATGGGATTACATGACTGAGTTTCGCTACCAGGAGGCGAACAGGTGGCACCACCAAAGCTTGATGCTGGATTATCACATTGTCTTGTCCTCTTTTGTGTCCCCCTACCACATGTTGTAGAACAAGTGTCATAATTTGACCATGCTCCCCATTTTCCATCCACTGTAAAAAGATAAAACATTAAATAAATCATACTGTAGCCCTGTAGAATTTCCTTATAACAAAACACTAAGCTTGAATGTATTTTTGATCAGTAGGCCCCTACATTGGACTAGGTAGTCTTGATTGGCCAGTCTTGATCCCCCAACCCCACAATTTGTCCCCACCCTCTTTGAAAAAATTGAATAAATGAAATAAAATGAATATTCTTACCTGGACAGGGATCTTCTGCGCATGCCTTAGTTTCAGTTTGATCGCCGATACAAGTCGCACCTCCATTTGCGGAACTTGGATTATCACAAAGTCGTTGTCGAGTCAACATACCACCACCACAAGGTTTGGAACAAGTGGAAAATTGCCCCCAGTTTCCCCAACTGCCATCAACTGTAAAGTAAAACATATTAATATATGGGAAGAAATATATCGCATACACGTCGAATATATATAAATATATTAAGGTGTATATTATACGTACCAGTACTAGGGATTGTGATATAATATTGAATGATATTAATATGCGTATTAAGACGTGGAAGTGATGATGTTTATTTTCTGTACCAGGACGTAGAATTGAAGTATGTTTTACCTACCAGGACGAGGAAGTGATGTGTATTATACGAAATAGGACGAGGAATTGATAACATTTCACAATATCAGGATGAGGAATTGATGTGTATTATACGTACCAGACTTTAAATGGATGTATATTATACCTACCAGGGCGAGGAACTGATGTGTATATATTATACGTACCAGGACGTGGAAGTGATGTGCATATTATACGTATCAGGACGGTGAATTGATGTATATTATACTTACCATGACGCTGAATTGGTATATATTATACGTACCAGGACGGTGAATTGATGTATATTATACGTACCAGGACATACAAGTGATGTATGTTATACGTACCAGGACGAGGAATTGTTGTATATTATACGCACCAGGACATGGAATTAATGTATATTATACGTACCTGGGCGAGGGATTAGGCGGGGAATTGATGTATACGTACCAGGACGTGGAATTAATGTATATCATACGTACAATGACGAGGAATTGTTGTATATCATACGTACCATGACGTGGAATTGATGTATATTATACGTACCAGGACGTACAAGTGATGTATGGTATACGTCACAGGACGAGGAATTGTTGTATATTATACGTACCAGGGCGTGGATGGGTGTATATTATAAGTACCAGGATTTGCAAGTGATGTATTCATTATACGTACCAGGACATGGAATTTCTGTGTTGCAGTCCTCTGTCTGTGTAGCACCTGTGATAATGTTAGGACACTGGGATCCACCATTTGATGCTGAAGGATTGTCACAGTTTCTAGTTCGTGTACGAGTTCCTCCGGTACAATTTGATGAACATTGTGCATAAGGTCCCCAAGTTCCCCACACGCCGTCCACTGAAACAAAAATTCGTCCAGATCAAAAGCAAGTACTGCTTGAGCTTTCAAAGTTCCTGAATCAAGCCCAGGAAACGAAACTATAAACTAATTTCAATAAGAAACCAATTATAGGTATTCTCATAACGAATTTGGGTTGATCGAAAATCTAATCAACTATCAGGAGCAAGTTGTGTTATATATATTCTTATAATCGTATTGTTTATTAGGTTTGGTAACATGGGACCATGCAATGGCAGAACCCAATAGGCACATTTCGGTCAAGCGTGAGATTTTTTCGCTTTTGACATACAAGATAGCATATATTTTACTTATTCTAACATCCGAGGTTGTACATTTCAGCAAGATATATCCAGCGCACTCTGATGGATCATCAAAACGATATCTAGTGTTTCCGAGAGCAAACGGATACGAACGATTGATAACTTACATTCACTGATTTGTAACATATCTGTAACAGTGCAATGTCAATTAGAAATGAGCCAGTCTTTCCTAGTCTTATCAATAGTAAGTCTAGCTCACTGGTTAATGAACTTTTAAAGGCACGAGTTGCGCTTAATTCATTGTTATTCATTGTTTCTTCAAACTAAAAACTCAGCAAATGAGTGCTCGTCCTTGTCATTCCCTCTGGTTTTTATGACAGTAAAAACCCCTTAAAACATTAAAAATTCCGGGAAATCCCTCGGGATGTATTGACCACTAGTTTAACATTGGTATTTCTATATCTCTCTACAATTGATGTATTGAGCACTAGTTTAACAGTGGTATTTCTATATCATTTTACCATTGAGCACTATTTTAACAGTAGTATTTCTATATCTCTCTACAATTGATGTATTGACCACTAGTTTAACAGTGGTATTTCTATGTCGCTCTACAATTAATGTATTGAGCACTATTTTAACAGCGGTATTTCTATATCACTCTACAATTGATGTAATGAGCACTATTTCAACAGTTGTATTTCTATATCACTCTACAATTGATGTATTGAGCACTATTTCAACAGTGGTATTTCTATATCACTCTACAATCGATGTATTGAGCACTATTTTAACAGTGATATTTCTATATCGCTCTACAATTAATGTATTGAGCACTATTTTAACAGTGATATTTCTATATCGCTCTACAATTAATGTATTGAGCACTATTTCAGCAGTGGTATTTCTATATCACTCTACAATTGATGTATTGAGCACTATTTTAACAGTGATATTTCTATATCGCTCTACAATTGATGTATTGAGCACTATTTTAACAGTGGTATATCTATATCGCTCTACAATTGATGTATTGAGCACTATTTTAACAGTGATATTTCTATATCACTTTACAATCGATGTATTGAACACTATTTTAACAGTGATATTTCTATATCGCTCTACAATTAATGTATTGAGCACTATTTTAACAGTGATATTTCTATATCACTCTACAATTGATGTATTGAGCAATATTTTAACAGTGATATTTCTATATCGCTCTACAATTAATGTATTGAGCACTATTTTAACAGTGAAAATGATTTTTTATGAGGACTAATTGCCACAATGACAAATGTTTGAAATATTGAATGTTGTAGAATAAAACAAACCTTACCTTCCGGACACTCTTTAAACATGTCCTTAAAGAACAGACACGCAAAGGAAACCAGTTCATTTGGCTCTGCCCCCGAGGCTACAATAACACCTAATAACACAATGACTGAAACTTGAATTTTCATGGTTACTTAAGATATCTCTCTAAGACTAATAAGTTTTCCGTCTCGGTCAAAAGGTTCAAAAGGAATACAAGGAATACTCCATCAACGTTACAATCCGTTGCCGTCCGCCAAAATAGTTCTAAGATTTAAGTTATCTTTGTCAGTCCGTTGACAGCCCGACCCCCGTCTCTGTCAAAGTTCTGAAAGTAATCTGTCAAAGTCTTTTTTTACCAGTCTCAGAAAAATATTTAGTTTGAACTGTCAAGCGGAACCATAAGTTATGATGTCAAATATATTAAAAATATATTTAAGTAAGCTAAAAGGGTCTATGTAGCGTCGTAATGTATATTGAAAACAGTGTTTTGTTGTTAACCATTTCAGGTCTATTTCACACATTTTCCCGAATTTTAAAAGGTCGGTTAAGTGTTATTAATTTTAAACAAATAGTTTGAGACCCATACATAATCATTTTATGGGTTTATATCTTTGATATTGAATAAAATGGCGAGTAAAACCATCAGGTTGAAACGTCCGTATTTTCACTGTTTAATAGCCTCATTATCCTCATCAATCTAATTTTCTTCTTTAAAGGGAGATTATGTTTTAATTTCAAAGTACAGAACTAAGCTTATTATGCAAGATATTATATATGAATCCTTTTCAAGTTTTCTTAGATATCGAATGACTTTAAACATGAGAATTTAAATTTGAGAATTGCCGATAAAATAATCCAAGACGTGACTTATGAGTGTATATTGTATTTTAGTCTACAGATCTGCAATTCTTCATTTTCGGAGGTGCGCATGTGAAGTAATTGATGGTCCAATCAAAACGTCCTCTAGAACAGTAAACGTGGAGAATTGCTACAAACATTCCTGTCTCGGAGACTAAGTGACACGTGTTCTAACGTTAGGTGAATGTTTCCCTTTAAGCGTCTATTTCTCTGATTACCCTTTCCAGTCAGCGGAATTGAAAATTCAATTCAATGACATTTTTTAGGTCATAGAAAATGTTTTTCGTCATTTTTCGTCAAGCCTGGTCTACTCTAAAACTATCACTTAAAGCGACAGAATCGCCATTTGTTTGACCAATCATACTTTAGTCTCAGGAACGGGATTTCTTTTAGCTGATCTAATCAGTAATAGTGTTCACAGCTAACTGTCGAAATTTGAGCCTTCAAATCCACGTGTGTCCAGATTTATCGAGTTTGAAAGTTTTAAAGAAGACTCGTCTTTTCCTGAGACTCTTTCTTGTATACAAAAGACATAGAAATATAATCTTTGTAAGACATATAGAAGCAGGAAGGTAAACATTAAGAACACAAGTTATATGGATATACTACTTCTAGGTTTATTACATTACGTACGTTTCGAAACGCATACAGGTAACATTAAGAACACAAGTTATATGGATATACTACTTCTAGGTTTATTACATTACGTACGTTTCGAAACGCATACTTACTTGATAACGTTACCTGTATGTGTTTTGAAATGTAGTATATTTACATATATTCAAGATTCAAATCAACCCCCAAATTGGCACACTTGTACCTTTAAATACTTTGTCGGACGCAAAATTTTACACTATTATCTGCATTGTCATGCATGACGTACGGATGTATAATCCCACGTATATGGGACTTGTTTGCCCTTGTTTTAAGTAAGATCATAAATGTTACATGTTTTCTCTGATGTTATTACTGTTTTGCTTAACCTTGACATGAAAAATAACGAAGCAGAACGTTATGTTTTTTCTGTTATAAGTAGTGATTGAAATGGTATACCAAGTCATAAACATTAGAAGAAAGAATTTGCTCAGAAGACCACACTCTATAGATATCAACATGATCAACATATCATTTGACCTTATTTGCATATTGAGATATAGATTGCATATCAGAGCTATTTTTCTTTTCATAATAAAAGAAGTAACAACACACCTTTCAAGAATGACTAAGGTATTTCATTATACAAGCTTTTGTCATCCTCGCGAAGACTTCATCTGCATTTGCATTCATATTGTCTGAGCAAAGAAAATTTAAAAAAAAATTATCCATTATTTTATGAGAATTGGAATAGCAGCGTCAAAACAGTACTGTCAGTCTTAGAATATTTTTGCGTTTATAGAAATATAATATTTTTTGTAAGTTTACATTGGAATTTTGACTGAAAATTTTCTACTCTAAAAATAAATTTGATGACACAAAACTAACAACACTATTTTTAGGCTGCTATTGAAAACTGTTTACTGTGCTCAGACAATAGAGTGGACTACCTCATACGTCGCTACATGAATAAAGTGAACTACCATCCATCTATTCATTGAAAAGGGGGCGTGGTGACCTGTTTAGTACTTCAATACAAACACTTTGGAAAACCACGAAAAGCATGAATCAAAATACCAAAGACAGCATGCCAGACAATGTAATATACGCCCACTGGCAGCTTTGATTTTAAATAAAAATATTTGGCAGTACAGTAACAATTATATTGAAAATATTCAACATGAACTTTTAGGGGGATACTGTATAATATTACTAAATTTCATCAATATTTGTCAGGAATTGTGCCTTCTAGACTGTTTGTGTGCTAAAAATTGAACGCATTTTCAAGAACAAGGGCAATAACTCATACTTATTATTTTTCGATTTTTCTGATTTTCAATAGGGTTCATTCTTGGGTGATTACAAAAATTATACAAAGTTCCATCAAAATCAGTCAAGAATTATGCCTTCTGGAGTGTTTACGAGAAATTGTGGACAGGACGGACAGGACGGACATGGATGACGACAATTTACGCTCCCCCCCTTAATGTGAGCGTATAAAAAGGTGTTGAAAGCAGTCGCGGCGCTAGCGGAGGTACAAGGGCGGCATTGGGTGTAGGTAAGTTGGTCACAGGAAATTTGGTCACCGGAAATATGGTCACAGTAATACGGGCACACGTTGTTTTGGTCATAGTAATAAGTGAAATAGGTAATTTGCTGCCCATATTACTGTGACTATATATCCGGTGACCCAATTTCCTATCACCATGTTGCCGTGCACCGCGGCATTTGCACCCCTAAAAGTGTTTTGCACTCCCAATTTTACCCTCATTTTATTTCTATGAAATTTAAAAATAAGATTTTGTTCCCAAAAATGTATCAGAATGCACCAAATCAATTAAATTTTCGAAAATTTTCTTAAGAGAGCTCCATTAGAGGCTTGTGAAAAGACAGGGTTGTCGCAATTTGAATTCAGTTGTCCTAACAGAGGACGTAAAACTCCATTCGGTTTCATTTTTCATTTGGAAAGTTGTCCCCCATTGTGCCAGTGTGTCCCAGTTTCGGGAGGCCGGGGCCGCCACCTGTTGAACGAGCAGGAAATATACATGTTTTTAGTGTGTCGTTTCCAGACGCCAACAACAATGAAAATTGAAAATTTCTCATAATATTGCGAAACTGAGTGACGTATGACACTGTGACTTTTCAAGGGATGTAAGATTTTGAACCACATTTAAAAACGGAGAGCACGTATAACAAAAAAAATTCTCGTGTTTATTGTTTACCCCTTCCTCTTCAGACAACACGTGGAAATTTAGACCGAAACATCTGCCAGTATTTATGCCTCTGTTAGCTTGCTTATCTTTTTTTACTCTACCCCAGCCGAAAACTATCAAAAAAGCTATCAGAAGCTGGAATACAGACAGATGTTTCGGACTACTTTAAATTGTGTTGAAATGTACTTTGTTCTACCAATATAATTATATTCACTGTGCTGTTTAAACAGGTTCAACCGAACCGCTCCCATGCCCCATTTCCACCGACCCGAAAAAAAGCTAGTGTAGCGGAACATTGTCTCGACCAACT